GGATTCCCTCCCTCGTGCGAGCAGAGGACTGGCCCCTCTCCGGGCTGGGAGCTCCGGCAGAGCGGAGGCGCGACGGAGAGCACCAGCACTGGGCGGAGAGCGGGGAGCGGACCGCGGGAGTGGGGCATTGCGGAGAGCGAGGGCCGGACCGAGCCGCCCCAAAGGACCGATGCGCCGGGTGGGGCGCTGGCCCCGGAGGGCGTGAGCCGCCCGCAGATTGAGCAACTTAGGAACGCGCAGGCGGAGCGCGGGCGAGCCGGGCGCCCAGGACAGTCCTGCGGCAGGCGGGCTAGCCGGCCGCGCCCTCGCCCCTCCCGAGCCTGCCCCCGCCGCGGCTGGCAGCGCGGAGGTGAGTCCCCCCTGAGCTGCTCCGTCCTCCTCCCTAGCGCCCCCTTTCCCGGGACCTGGGGTGCCGGGGACCTCCCGTCGGGGCTCGGCCGAGCTGAGTGCCGGGAGGGGGGGCGGGGGGGAGGGGGCGACAGCGAGGGGAAGGGGACTTCTGGCTGCTGTGGGGTCAGAGGGCGGGAGAGGGCACCTCCTGGAGCCTCTCCTTCTAGTCCTTGCCGCCGCCATCCGCGTCATCCCTCAAGCCGATGGGCAGCCCCCTCCCGGTTGCTGCCTCGGGTTCCCCTCAACCCCGCAGCCCCCGGTGATCGTCCTCACTCTGGATCTGATCTCATCTGACTCTGAATCTGAAACTGATGGAAACTGATCGTTCTGGATTCCCCAAGCCCATCAGTCCCGTTCACCCCTCTTCCCCAGCTCTTGATCCCTGGTGCTGTCGGCTCGGATTCCCCTGAGACCCGTGGCCCCTGATTCCACCTCAGTCCCACAGCCTGGGTCTGGGTCCGACGTGGCAGGCTGCGAGCACGACCGCCCCCAGTGCGCTGCGAGGTGGCGCGACTCACTGGCCCTCGGGTCGGTCGCTGAGGGACGGATGGTACTGCTTGGTTGCGGAGAGGTGGGGGGGCTGTGTTCGTCCGGGGCTCAGAGGAGGGCAAGGACGGATTCTGGGTGCGGGTGCTTGGGGGCTGAGGCTTTCTTGTGAAACTGGCCTCTTGGAGAATTCTCTTGGATTTGGGGGGGGGGACAGTGAGAGGGACTTTTGATCCGCCTCCCCTCCCCCTGCACCTGCTGGGCCTCTCCGGGACAGTGGGGAGGGAAGAAGAATTTGCGCGCATGGGGCAGAGATGGAGGGACGTGCAGGAGCCTTTCCCGGCTGCCCTCGGTGTTGGAAGGGTGGGGGGCGGCCCCAGCACCTGGCTTGGCTCCGGCCGACACGCTAATCCCGACAGGTCGGGCAGGCACGTACTTGGTCCCGCCCCCCGCCCAGCAATACCTCTGCCCCCGCCCGCCAGCCAGCTCCGCGGCCGAAACTCCCCACCCGTAGCCGGTCCCGGGGAGGGTTAATGAGACATTATCGGGATGGTTTACATTTTTGGGTCTGTATCCGGCCCTGGACGGAGTACCAATTTATCCTGATAGTGTTACAGGGAAGAAGGTGAAAGTTATTGCAACCTTGTGGGGGGCACGGAGTCCCCGCCCTCAGCTCCCCCCCCCCCCCCCCCAGCTGTGTTCCCCTGGGCCGCCGGTGTCCTCCCCTCCCCAGACCACCTAGCCTGTGCGCGGCCTCTCTCCTCAGTCTCCCGCACCAGCTCTGCGGCCAGTTCTTTCCCCACCTCTGTGGTCAGCTCCCTGCTCCCCTGCCCCGCCCTCCAGACACCCAGTCCTGAGCAACAAACCCCACTCAGTGGTCACTGGGCTAGATTTGTCACCCTGAGACCCTTAACCTCCCAGTGCCAATACAATGGGAATAATTCACTTCTTTCCTAGAGTTATTCGGGGTAAATGCGGGCCCAGCACATGTCAGGTGGGGCAGGCATCTGATGAATGTGAGCCCTTCACCCTTACCCTGGCAGAGACAAAATGCCCTTCCTTCCCCCCACAGATGCCTGAGACCTTGATTACTGCCAGCAGTTCCCATTGCTGGCTCTGCCGGTCCAGGGTAGTCTGTGTATGTGCTTGGATGGGATGGGGATGGAGGGAGGGGTGGAGGGACCTTCTGGAGGGACCTTCTGGGGGCTTGTTTTTCGGCGTCCTTAGTCTGAGACCTCTCCAGCTTTTAAAATGGGATTTCACATCAAATTCTGAGTTTTCAACTTCTCTTTAAAAAAAAAATCAGAAGATTTGACAATATTTAATCATTATCTCTGCCCATCAACAGTCCACTGGAGTTGAATAGTACCCGCTCCCTTTAGATGAGACATTTGCCCCCCAGCACACCCCTTCCACAACCGGCTGGCTGCCCTCCTATTTGTTGCTTTTCTCCGGGCCTTAGCTCCTTTTCGGGGTTGATTATATGTATATACTTCTTTTTTAAAAGATTTTATTTATTTGTTGGACCGACAGAGATCACAAGTAGGCAGAGAGAGAGGGAAGCAGGCTCGCTGCTGAGCAGAGAGCCTGATGAGGGGCTTGGCCCCAGGACCCTGAGATCATGACCTGAGCTGAAGGCAGAGGCTTTATTTAACTCACTGAGCCACCCGGGTGTCCAATGTATATACTTTTTAAAGTGCTTGAATTTCCTCCCATCCAGCGATAGGTGAGTGAGGTCAGTGTTAGTTGCTCCCGTGTTATTCAGATCTGAGTCCTCCTGTCCGTTTCCCAGCTGAGATCATGGTTCCAGTGATTCAGGTGGGAGTGGGCCAGGAGGGCCTCACCGGTGAGGACTGGATGAGCATGGCAAGAGGAAGGCTGAAAGCTCAGACGTAGGAGGATTGAGGGGAACAGAGGCAAAGTAGAGGGAGGGCGAGGAAGGAAGCTGACATCAGTTGAGCCCCCAACCTGGTGTGCCAGGCCCTGGGCCGGGCAGGCAGAGGAGAGGCAAAGGAGATCTCTTCTACCCCTAAGATCCCATTGATAACCGAGCTCGCAGTAAGACCAAATTCTCACAGACCCCGGCTTTCACACCAGGTTGGTCGAATGTGGCTTTCTCCACCAGTGTTTGTCCAGTGTAAGAACCCACGGCGCCCCAAGAATGTATCTGCCAGGAGTCTTCAGTTTCACAAATGCCTCAATTAAACGTCAACCCTGCCATAGTGAGTGATCACACTGGGATGAATGCGAATATGGAAACTGCATAACAGGGCTCAGTATTAAGGCCCGTATCCAGATGATACCAAAACAAAACACCTGTATTGCTTTTTGGATGACCACTGGCATGTAGACACAAAATTGTGGCTTCCTGGTCATAGAAAAATACAACCATTATGAGTGAGTGCTCCTGACGTGCCAGGTGCCCTTCTAAGCCGTTTCATGTATTGGCTCATTTAAACTATAAAAAACCACCATCCTGTCACAGATAAGGAAACCAAGGCTCGGACCAGCTGAACAACTAGGCTGAGGTAACAGCTAATACGTAGCACTGCCCACATTAGAAGCCCAGCGTTCTGCTTCCTCCCTTAACCATCATGCTCTCTACAGCTGGCCTCTGGCTAAAGACCCCAGTCTGATAAGCTCAGCTGGAGGACCGACCACAATTTGCAGGTGAGGGAAGTGTGTGGTGGAGGCAGGGGAGGAGAAGGGCTCCGGCAGTGCACGTGGGGAGTCCTGGAGGGGCACGCAGAGGCTGGCGTTTGGGGGTGGCAGGGGCTATCCCCGCCCCAGCTCGGCTAGGCTGTAGGACCAGGTGGGACCTGTCAGCCTCGTGTAAACACTTCTCACAAGGGCAGCTTAACCACTTGAGTGTGACTGGCCTTCAAAGCTGGAGGGAGAGGCCGAGCAGGGAAGTGCCGAGCTCCCTTGAGGGATAACGATTTATCTCCCCTGCAGGTGGGCTCCCTGGGGCCTCCCCCAGAGGCCAAGGGGGAAAGGGTTGGGACGGGGCTGGAGGGGCACTGCCGCTCCAGCATTTCAGATTTCTCATTAGTAAGCCAAAACTCAGCCAACTCTCAGAACAAGCCTGTGAAACAGGCATCTTGATTCCCATTTTAGAGATGAAGAAACTGATGTTCAGAGAGGCTGAGTGACGTGTCCAGAGGCATCTAGCTGGCGGGTGGGAGGGCGATACTTCCATGGCATCTACAAAGCTTCCTGAAGCCCGGCTCTTTCCTTCTGTCCCTGGGCGAGCATAGGTGGGTCTGCAGCCAAGCGTTCAGGGCAACACTTTCCAGCATGCCTGGGCTGGGAGAACATGCGGGAGTAAGTGATTGCAGAGTGTGAAGCGTGGTGTTCGGCCCGGACTCCCAGGTCGGGCTCCAGACACACTGCACTGGGGAGGGACCAGCTGCCCCTGCCCCCATCACCGGGCCAGCAGGCCAGCGGGTCCAGAGACCTGGCTCTCGCTGGGCCAAGGGGATTATCCCCATTCTCTGTGTCTCTGGCCAGGGCGGGCACCGCTGCCTCTTTTATCCTCTCACAAAGGCCAGGCCCGCAGGGCCTGCTGTGTCAGAGTTTCTGTGGCCGGGGGAAGCCTTACTTCCTTTTCTCCCGCCAAGCCCAGAGGGCCACGCAGAGTCTGCCCACTTGTTGGGGGGCCACCACTAGAGCTCCACAGGTGAAAGAAACAGGGGTGACTCAGCACTGGGAGGAGAGGGCTGAGGGGTCACTCACAGAAGGACAGAGAGCTCCTCTTCAAGACAAAGGTTATTCCTGCAGTACGAGGTCAGAAGGGTAGATCTAAAGAAGCACATCCTGTCAGAGCTGGCCAATATCGGGCAGGGGTGGGGCCAGCTGGTTCCCAGGGATCCACAAATTGGATGTGAGAGTCTGCCATAGTCCAGCTGCTTGGGTAGCCGGCTCCAGTCCCAGGTTAGGGCGTTCTGTGAAATTCCCAGGAAAAGGAGCAGATTTCTTCTACAGGGTGGGGGGTGCGGCGGGGGGCAGGTGGGTAAGTTGTCCTATTCAACCATTCGGAGTTCTCACAGTCTTCTGGGTAGGAGACATTAGTTGGGGAGACCCCATGGTTCCCCAGAATTAACCTCTCTTTATCCTCCCCCAACAGGTTGGTTTTTGGAGGTGTCCCCGCTGAAGTGGCAACGAGTTCTCCCATGTGACACACCTGAGCTGCCTTTGGGGAAAGCTCTCTGGACCTCCCAATGGGCTGATGAAGAAGTGGGCTCCCCACACCCTCTCTGTCCCCAACTGAGATTATGGTGGATTTGGGATACGGCCCAGGCCCGGGCCTCCTGCTGCTGAACCAGCCCCACAGGTGTTAGCAAGAGCCCTGCGCTGTCCAACCCCCCACCCCCCAAAGACCACCCCTTCTACCAGGGGCCTGGAGCTGGCAAGTGACTATGCGGCTTGGGCTGTGTGTGGTGGTCCTGGTTCTGAGCTGGATGCATCTCGCTGCCGGCAGCCGGGGGATCAAGGGCAAGAGGCAGAGGCGGAGTGAGTAATGGAGCAGGGCTGGACCACTGCTGGCCTTGGGAGCGGGAGGGGGCCACCTGGGGACCAGAGGGCCATCGGCGGTTTCATTCGGTGATGACCATGGCAGATTTTACTTTGTCTATTACAGCTGTGTAGATTACTCAGTAGATTATCCTGTTTGTGGATTATCCGGTGTGTGGATTAATTTGTTGAGATTAGCCCCTCTATAGATTACTTTTGTCTATTTTCCCCTTTGTAGACTCTGCTTTCTAGATTAACCCCTCTCTTGTGAGGATCCAGTGTGTGGATTATGCCTTTTGACATAACACCAGCTTTGTGTGGTATCCATGGAAATGGGGTCCCCTGCTGCTGGGGCCCCGGCCTCAGGGTGCTCGGCCCCCTCCTCACTGATAGGAGTTCTCAGCTCTTTTCTTTGGATCTTGGCTGAGTGCGGGCCCCCGGTAACCCCTTGGGGCCAGGAGCTCTACTAAGCTTGGGGAACAGCTTCCCTGCCAAGTTCATGGGGGCAGATGCAGCAGAGTAGGGAGGCTCATGAGACTGTCCACTCCTGTGGTTTTTAACTCTGCACAGTGGGATTCGGGGAGTTGCACTGGGGGCTGAAGGGGAGGCAGTGGGAAGGAGTGTGGCCCCACTGCCCATCCAAGCAGAGGACTGCTCACTCTTTCCTGTTTTCAGCCAGATTCCACATTAGATGTCACTGGAAGGAGGGGTTCCCACAGTTTAAGAAAAGACAATTTTAAATTCTTTTGTGATACAAATAGGCCTAAGGACACCTGGTTGATACTGGAACCCAATTCCCATGAACCCTGTCTTCCTAAAAGCAGAGCTTGACAGAGCTCATGGTGACCCTGTCCCCACAGAATCCCATCCCAGGCAGACCTGAGAGCCCCCTGGCCTCATCCTGGCTCCTGCAATGGGGGGTGGGGGATGGGGGATGGGGGATGGGGGATGGGCACCTGCCTAGTATGTGAAGGGAGTTGCTGCTGGCTGTGCCAACCGGCTAGTGAGAGGGAGGGGGCCTGTGGTACAGACCCAAGGGCTCTCTCCCTTTCAGCGTCCCCCATAAGTCATGTCACTCCCACAGGTGGGAGGCTCCTCTGAAGTGCGGCACAAGCCCCTCTTGCTTCCTCCTGAGGCTGTCAAACCCAGGCCCACCAGGAAAAGTCAGGAGGCAGTGGAGTTCTGTTGGGTCCCCACTGGCGCGGCCCAGGCCAGAACCCAGCCCAGGGAGAGAAGCTCAGAAAATTGGTGGAGCTGAAAATCCCTGGCTTAACACACAATTAGAGGCGGTTAGGTTTAATCATCATTGAGGCCTTGATTTTCCTCCCTGCTCCGGTATCTTGGGCTTCACAGGCCCAATGTGGTTTAGTGGTTTATAACCAGTCTCCTTTGTTTCCAAGGTTGGGGGGGGGCACCCACGCTCATGTGACACACATGAGCTGTCACACTTCCACTCACAGGCAGAGTCCCCCCACCCCCCAGCCAGGGGTCAAAGACCTGTTGTATTGATACAAGTCTGTTGTATCGAAAACAACTACAACAATAACAAAGTACTGCCTTGAGCATCAGAAAGACCTGGTCTCTGCAAAGGCCAGGTGAATGCCCCAATTTGATGGAACCACAGCTCCGTACCGGGTGGCATGAGTGCAGACGTCCTTGATGGTGACATGTGAGGGTGGGAAAAGACTTGGGGTGCAGTGAGGACCTGGAGAGGGATGAGGGTTGCTAGACAATGCTTGTTGAATAAAAACCATAAAGCTGCAAGGGTGGTTGCAAAGGGATATAGTATAGCCTACGGGAGGTTTTATTTATGCGTGTATATTTTGTGGGAACCCTTTAGAAAATAGCAAAGCTCTGTCTAGACTTCAGGATGCATGTCGTTGTTACATGAACAATGTGTGGACCGTTTGGCCCTAGGGTTTCTGTGGAGTAGGGAGGGAAGAAAGGACCACGATGCTGTGTGTGGCTGCTCGACCTTGTAGCCACTGGGGGGGCAGTGGGGAGCCAGAGTGGGAAGGTAGGCTGGCTGTGCAGATGAGCCTCAGGTCTGTCAACTCTGTCTGCTGTCAGAAGACACCCGATAGAGCACCGATCCGGGAGACATATACCAGTTTAGAGTCCAGAAATGGCTGATCTCAGACTTGGGTGATGGTCTCCCCGCACGGAGGGAGTGAAATTGAGAAAAGGGCTCTTAGCTGTGAGTTAGGAACTCTAGCGGGGTGATTTCCTCCTCCCATTCACTGAGGACCCTCCTTCTCCTCCCTAAGCCCCCTCTTCACTCACTTAGCCTCTTGTCTCCTCACTGGCCCTCCCCCGCTCCTGAATGCTTTCCTGCCTGGTCCTCAGAGTGCCCACCTTGACTCCCCCCTCCTCACACTGAGTACTCCTTCTCCTTACTGAGACTCTTTTAGCTGATTCCTGGGTCCCTTACTCAGTCCTGTCGCCTTGAGTCCCTCATTCCTTCACTGAAGCCCGGCTCCTCCGTCTGACCCCATCCAGACTTTGTGGGGAAGTGAGATCAGGGGAGACTTCCTGGAGGAGATGGCTTTTGTTTTGAGGCTTGAAGGAGTTCGTGAGGCTCAGGAGGTGGAAGAGAATGTTCCAGGCAGAGGGACCAACTTAACCAAAGGCATGGAGGTGTGCAATGATGTGATGTGGGCAGACAAACGAAAATAGTTCTGTTTGGCTGAGGGGTAGTGTTGAGAGATGAGGTGGGTAGGATCAGCTCATGGAGGCTTTTTAGGCCAGGTAAAGAAGTTAGTAAGACCAGACTGGTCTCAGTTCTGCTGGTGATAGGGAGCCATCGATGGATTTTAGGAAGAGGTGTTTTGGTTTTAGGAATATGAGTTTGCAAGGGTTTTGTGCAAGAATGGATGAAGGGGCCTGAGAAGCCCCAGGGAATGGAGGGGGGGCACAGCCTTGCCTTCCCAGTCTGGGGAAGTGGGCTTCACTGAGGACTTGGCGGGGGGCAGAGCTGTGTGAGGGGGTTTTGTGAAGAGGTTGGGAAGTAGGCTCCATCCTTTCTCTGAATGCCCTCCACTAACAGCCCACCCAGCCTCCACAGCAAAGCTACAGCCCTACCAGGCTGCCTCCCCTGTGTGCCTCCCTCCATCATGGGCATAGGAACCTTGCATGTGGTGAATCTGGCCGTGCCCTTCTGAGGTCCCCTTCCCTGCCAGTAGCATAAAGCCTTATTTTCCATTCTGTGAATGCACTAAGATGTTCGGTGCCTCAGAGCCTTTGCACAGGCTGTTCCTCCTGTGTGGCACACCCTCTTCACCTAGCCGGCTGGGTAAGGGAGTGTCTTCCATTACTCATCCACTCACACAGCGTGAGCCAGCCCTGCTTGCCGCATCCCTGGGTGGGCCTTTGTTTATGCCTCAGCTCTAGCTCTAGGTCCCCAGCTCCCAGTCCTTCTGGGCACAGGTTAGGTGTGCAGTAAATGTCTATGGAATGAATGAGGCTCGGTTTTTTCCCTTTGAATCATTAGGCATCCCCCAACGCCCACCATCTTCCTTGGACCCCGTTTCCCGCACACAGAGCCCCCCTCCCTGTGGCTGTCTATTAGCACCCCACTGCCCATGCACCTGTCTCATTAAGCTGAGAACACCCTTGGGTTCCTATCCTTCTTGACCAGCATCCCCTTCCTCACTGAACTGACCCCTGCCCATCACTGAACTCCTCTCCTCCTTGATAAGCTCTCCTTCTCCTTCCTGCACCCCCAAACTTCATGGAGCTCAGTTTCCTTTGTCCTTGTCTCAAGCCCCAAGGCCACTCTGCTTTGCACTGCAACTCTCCTGTATCCTCGGGTCTTCACTCCATCAGTTCACCCAGCCTTGGAGTCTCAGATGTGCGTGATCACAGCCCCTGCTCCCAGCTGCTCTCCCCTCTCTGTTCCTATGTTCTCGGATGCTTTCTGGCCCTCTCCTCCCTTTACCTCCACCTCCACCTCTTCCACTCGCTTCCCATCCCCCACTCCATCAGAATTGCTCCTTTTGGGGTCAGCCAGTGGGTCACCTCCCCATGCCGGTATGTGGCTATGGTCTCCTCCCAGCTGTCTCTGCACATCTCCCCCTTTACAACTTGGTTCCTGTGCCCACTCTCCCTCAGCAACCCCCCCACCCCTACCCCAGGATTCCTTCTCAGTTCTCTCTGAGCCCCTCCTCCTTGGCTGGCCTGTTGAGTGAGTGTTGCCCGATGTTTAGGCTCTGCCTTGGGATGACTCCCCGTCCCATGATTTAACCACTGATGACCACAGCTTCCAAAGTAGGATCCCTGCATTCTCTCCCCTGCTCCACAGCTGATTTCTTGAATGAGATGACTCTCCTTCCTCTACTCCTCGACCCCTGCCTTCTGCCCTCTGCCCCCATCAGGGGCACCATTGCTGCCTCCTTGCCTGACACTTCAGCAGCTTTGGAACAGCGACGCCTCCCTGGCCTGCCCAGTGAGCTCTGCTCTTGGCTTTCATATTCACTGTGCCTTTGAGTGGCCTTTCTTTTTTCTGCCCTTCCCTTAAATTCCTGGTTCTTTTGCTCATTCTCTCGACCCACTGTCCTTTCTGTCTTGTGGACGCTCATGCCTTTATGACTGTTTTCACGTTAAAAACTCCACATTGAAGTCTCCAGCCAAAATATTTCTCTTGACTTCCAGACCCACAGGTTCAACTGCCTAATAGACACCTCCCCCCAGATATCCCACAGGAGCCACAATGTCAACACATCTAAAACCTGACTACTCATCCTTCCCCCACCCAAACCTGCTCCGCCTCCTGTGGTCCCCTCTTGGCGAAGGGCAAAGGGCCACCTTGTCACACAAGCCCAACACCTTGGAGTCACCCTCAGCTTGCACTTTCCCCAGCCCTCAGCCCCAAGTCCAGCCCACATCACCTGGTCTTATTGATTCTCCCACCTGAGTATCTCACCTGTGTCCACTCCTCTGCATCTTCTCCATCCAGCTGTCTCTTTGGGCTTGAGGTATCTTCTTGTCTCCAGACTTGCTGTCCCTATGACCCATTCTCCCTATCACAGAGTGATCCGACCATGTCTCTGATTTTAAAGCCCCCAGTAATTCTTCACTGCCTTTAGGATGATGTCCAAATTCCTTTGTCCAGATTCAAGACCCTTTCTTATCTTGGCCTGCTTCCCCTTCCAGCTTCACGTCTAACCCCTCCCTCCATGCTCCCTGCCCCCACGCTGATTTCAGATCCTGAGGGCTCCACACTTTCTCTTGCTGTGTCACTGAGAGATCTGAAGAGAAATGCACACAGAGATGTGCTGGTTGATTGGGAAATGGACAGCAGGATTCTGAGAGGGCCTTTTGCAAATCTGTCCTTAACAAAAATGAAAAGGATGAAGACACGAGATGGGAACATAGTTAAATGGCTGGCAAATGGACACTGGGATCAGTTCAGTTATTGAAACCAAGGCAAGGATAGAGGGGACATTCATTTCAACAATGAATTTAGTAGAAACTTTGAATAATAGAGAATATAATATCTTTGAAGTAGAAGCAATACCTAAAATCTAAACAAACTTATTAATTTGTAATACAACCAAATAAAGGACCAAAGTGGAAAAGGAAACCCAAGGGCTTCCTCATAATGTCAATGCAACACTTAAATATTTTTGCTCCTAGAAGAACTAAACCAAGAACAATATTAATTTTTAAATATATTGATTAATTAACATCGGCTCTATACAAATCAATTCTATATATATATATTTTTAAATCAATCTACCTGAACTTCCGGTCTCCACATTACCTCATGTGGTCTTGCCCTTGGCCTTCCTAAACTTTGTTCCCTCTGCGTTGGCACACATGCTGGCTGCAAAGCCTTGTTCAAGTCATTTCACTTCCCCATGCCCTCCTCTGTAAAAACAAGGCTTACAAACTAATAATCACACCTGCTGCGTGGGTTGTAAGGATTTAGTAAGTGAACGCATGAGGAGCCCTGGGAACAGAGTAAGCGTGCCACGTGTGGGAGTCAGCAGCCATGGTGGTTGTGAAACGGCTGTGTTTTTTCCAGCTCCTTCCCCTTCTGCTCACGTTCTTAACTCTTGCTCATTCTCCAGTTCTGAAATCAGGGATCGCTCCTGCAGCTGGTACTTCTCCCAGTAGCCCTCCAGAGTAGACATCCTCACATCCGTTTCCAGTGATGGGAAAGGAGGCACACGAGACACCGTGTTTTGCCCCAGGGCACAGGTCCAGCCTAAGCTCGGGGTTCCCTACGCTCCGTGATCTCGTGCCATCTGTTCTGTTCCCCGCAGCGCTCTGCCCCCAGCCTGCATCGCCAGCTCCTTGCTTCATGCTTGCTTCTAAGTGGCTCATTCCTCTCTGTGTGTTACCTTCTCCACTTGCTTTTCTTCCCGCGGGGTGGACTTCATTTAGTGACCAGCCCCACTGTCCCACCACCACCTACCCTCGCCCTGACCCCAGACTCCTCTCTCCTGTTGGTCTCCTCTGCCAAATTCTCTCAAATCTTCTTCTGTCCATCTCCAACTTTGCAGAATTTTATTTAAGACGTTTTCATCTTTCTCACCTGGTTGATCTGATCAGCTTCCTTCCAGATGGTCCTTTGGTCCCTGGTTTCCATCCAGGTTGCCCGAGGAACCTCTCAACATGTAAATCAGTTCGGGTCCTGCACCTTGCCGATAGCTTCCTACTGTCTAATCAGTTATGAGAAAGGTCCCAAGAAAAACTCTGCGAGACAGGGGTCCTTTGGCCACAATGTTTGGCAAGTGAAGCTTCCTCTGTCCTCCTCTTAGGGAGTCACTCTGTGCAGGAACATGGGAAAGGTTGAAGAAGCCCTGTGCTAAAGAACTCTGTTTAGACCCATGGACCCAGGGTTCTGTCTTCCCTGATGTCCTGGCCTTTTCTCCACAGCCTCTAAGGAACATCTATGGGAAAGCTTGTTCCAGGAATGCTCTTTGGGAAACGCTGCCTGGCAGGATCAAGTTCAAGTTCCTTAGCATGATTGTCTTTCACTATTCCCCTCCCTGTCCCTTCTGCACCCCAAATCATCTGTAATTCCCTTTGGGTTCTTTTCTATCTCTGTGGGCCTGCTTCTAGAAGGACCCTCACCTCTACTTCATGATGGACAAATCTCTACTAATTCTTCAAGAGTTGGCCCAAAGGAAACCTTCTTCATGACTCCTTCCTTCTTTTCTTTTGGGTTTACTCTTACTAGGCCTTGCGGCTGTCAGCATTTACTTGTTTGCAGGTCTGCCTGCATCACTGAAAGATCAGTTTGGAGTGGTCAGGCGAGCCTCCCTCCATGTCCCCAGTGCTCACTGGGCACAGGATACTTGGGAGGGGTGCAGGGAGTTTTGGTTAAACAAGTGACATCAAAGGGTTGAGACCCCATGCTGGGGCTGGAGGTCACACTGCCTCAAAGGAAGGCCAGTGTTTCCCAAACTTAGCATCACTGATATGTTGAACCAGGCAGCTTGTTGTGGGTCCCCCCACCCCATGCCTTGTAGGATGTTTACCAGTACCCCCAACCTGTCTCCCCCAGATGCCGGCAACAACCTCTTCCCCAGTATGACTATCAGAAGCATCTCTAGATGTTGCCAGATACCCCCTGGGGAGCAAAATCATTTCTGGTTGAGACCACTGTTCCAGACCCAAGTTATTCCACTTGTCCTCCTGCATCTGAGCAGACGATCCTTTTCTCAGATAGTTTAACCCGTTGTCCTCTTGACCTTAAAACTTTCTCAAGGATAAAAAAAAAAATCCCCTCCTTCCATACCTGAGGCTGAGCTTTTCTTCTTCTCGGGAGGGCTGGGGAAGGTTCCAGGAAAGGTGCAGCTTCAGGAGCTCCTCGGGGAATGGCTAAGCAAGCCTGGAGAGTGAGCCATTGTTGTGCCTGGCGCCGGGGAAGACATTTCGGAGGGATGGGGGTAGTCTCTTGCTTTGGACATCTGTGCCAGTTCCCTTGAGGGATGATGTTGGGAGGCTTGTCAAGCAGCCTTACAAGGAGTGGACATCCTGGCCTGTACTTGTCTGAAAAGCACGTTTGTCATGTAGGAAGAAACTCCTCTACTCACTTCCCATCCTTGTGGGAGCCTGGGAAAGATGGAGGTCTCTCCTACAGCCGCCTTCTTATCCCTCTTCCACCCTTGCAGTCAGTGCGGAGGGGAGCCAGGCCTGTGCCAAAGGTTGTGAGCTCTGCTCTGAGGTCAACGGCTGCCTGAAGTGCTCGCCCAAGCTGTTCATCCTGCTGGAGAGGAACGACATTCGCCAGGTGGGCGTCTGCTTGCCTTCCTGCCCCCCGGGATACTTCGATGCCCGCAACCCCGACATGAACAAGTGCATCAGTGAGTGTGGGGAGGGCTGGAGAAGACTCTGGACACTGGGGGAGGGTGCTTTGAATGGTTGGTGGCAGGCAGGAGGAGGAGGAGAGGGGACATGGAGGAGGGGAGATGAGGCTCCGATTCAAGTATCCAGCAGCCAGCCCGACATCTCAGGGAGTCTCTCCACCTTCCCAGCTTGTGTATCCATATCAGAGCCATATCTCCCGCCTCCAAACCTGTACCCACCTGCACTGCCGCGGTGTCCTGGGCCACTCACGCCATTGACCTGAGAGCCAGCTTGTCCTTCATGTCATCTCCCATCCATCTAATGACCAGATCGTGCCTGCTGCCTCTCGCTTCCGTCCTTACTGCCATAGTCTCGACCGGGGTTCCTACTGCCTCTATCCTGGACTATCTCAGTAGCCTGCTTCTCTGTCCTCCAGCACTCATCCAGTTCCCTTGAGCCCTCCCTCCACATGACAGCCAGAAAGATGCTTCTGAGACACGTGTCCTGTCCCATCACACTACTGTTTGAAAACCACCCCAGCCCCACTTACCGCAGGGAAATTCAAGCCCCTGCCAGCCTGTCTGTTCCCCGCACCCTTCTGCCTCGCCGCTGTGTCCAAGTCTTCTTGCCAGCTGGGCTGGGCTCCCCCACAGCCGCTGTAGCTCTGCATGTTTGAAGGCACATGCTGCCCCACCTCTGTTCAGGCTCACTGTGACATACTGGGGGACAGGCAGGGAACACACTCCAGTGAACAATGCCAGTGCCCCTCCCATTCGCTCAGGGCCCGGGTGATTAGAATGCATTTCTAGATCATGTGTCCGTTGCGCCTCACAACAGCCTTTGGAGGGAGATGGGACCTAAGTGACAGGTGCCCTTTTTTCGGAGGCTGATAGCAATGAGGCCTGCTGGGGAAATGGCTGACCCGAGATCAGCCTTGGGTTCTAAGCTTAATTTTGCTTCTTTCTCGTTGTATAACTTCGGGTGTGTTGCAGCCTCTCAAAGCCTCATGTCTGAAAGGAGAGTGCTAGTTTTCCCCCTAGGGCTGTTGCCAGAGGCATATAGAAAGCCCTTAGTGGCTACCCTTACTGTATGTCCCCTGCAACCAGACCCAGGAGTCTGAGAAAGGAGGGAGGAGCGGAGGAGAAGGAGCCTCCAGGAGGCACAGAGGAGGGGTCGGGTGCAGTGGGGTGGGAAGCCTTTGAGGATGGAGGGGGGACCCTGGGGCTGCCCTCTTGGTCCTCAGCGTGTTTGGGGTAGGAGCTCCTGACTGAGCCGGCTCCCGCAAAACTGGCAGCCCCAGCTGCAGGTGCCAGAGACTGGGAAGAAGTCAGTTTTGCCCATGGTCTGGGAAGGGAGATGTTGTGAAAGACTCTGCCTACTTTCAGCTGGGGCCCTGTGACCCTCCCTCCCCCAACTTCCCCAGAGGAGGGAGAGCTGGCAAGAGGGGATCAGGGAGGGACCCAGGAGTCCAACCAAGGTGGTTCCTGGAACTGGGCTTTGCAGAGGGAGAGGAATTTGCCCTGAGATCTCTCCTTCCCTCTCCAAGCAGATTCTTTTCTCAGGGCAGGAGGGGAACAAGGGTTTGGGGTGTCACGGATGCCCAGCTATGGTGAGAGGAAACCATACAGCTGTGAGCGGGGATCATCGTATTCCTCAGTTCAACTCCGATTAGGTGGCCCTCTGGTGTGCCATGATGCACTGGGACCCTTATCCTCCCCGTCCCCCAACGAATCCCAGAGGGTCCCGCCCTGCTCCTCTGAAACCAGCTCTTCTGCTCCTCACCTTGGTTCCAGGGCCTGGGATTGGGTTTGGGGTAGTGTTAGCTGACCGGCCCAGCCAGCCCTGAAGAGCAACCCCTTTGGCTTCCTCTGCTCACCCTTCCCTTGCCTTCCCTCCCTCCCAGGACTCTCCTGTGGTCATGGCAGCTCAGAGCCAGGGTCCTGCCCTCAGGGTTGGGGGGCCTGCCCTTAGGGTGGAGGGGCCTTGGGGATGGGGGTGAGCCAGAGGTCCCCAATCTGGCCCTCTCCTCAGAGTGCAAGATTGAGCACTGTGAGGCCTGCTTCAGCCACAACTTCTGCACCAAGTGTAAGGAAAGCTTGTACCTGCATAAGGGCCGTTGCTATCCGGCCTGTCCCGAGGGCTCGGCGGCCGCCAACGGCACCATGGAGTGCAGCAGTCCTGGTGAGTTTGTGGGGGTGCTACGGGCCAAGGGGGTTGGGCCCCAGAGAAGGGGCAGGGAGAGCCTGCTTATCCCCCACCTGCAGCCCCTCCCCTGACAGTCCTGTGGGGTTCGTCCCAAGGTTTTTCTGGCCTCTGAACCAAAGATGCCTCCAGCCTCAGGCTCAGGCAGAGAACAGGTGGGAGGGGCTCCCCTGGGGCATTCTGGGGTACCCAGAGGTGACCCCCTCCTCCCCTTCTTTCTCTTCCTCTTCCCTCCCTTCCTGCCAGCACAATGTGAAATGAGCGAGTGGTCCCCGTGGGGGCCGTGCTCTAAGAAGAAGAGGCTCTGTGGCTTCCGGAGGGGCTCCGAGGAACGGACTCGGAGGGTGCTCCATGCCCCTGGGGGGGACCATGCTATCTGTTCGGACACCAAGGAGACCCGCAGGTGCACAGTGCGGAGGACACCCTGTCCAGAGGGTGAGCTGCGTGTGGTCTGTGTCTCCCCGGGGCTGGGAGTCGGGGACAGCCATGGAGGTCTGATCACTTCTGCCTCTTGCCTGTCACCTGGGAAAGGGCCACAGGCTGGGGCCAGATGGGAACTTCCAGTTCAAGATGCCATGCTGGGGGAATCAGTGCCAGGTTCTGGCAGAGAGCGGTCCCCAGAGCTCCATGTGGTGGAAGCTGGAAGCTTCAGTGTCTGTGTCTTCCAGTTTCCCCATTTTCTCTGAACCAGCACGTGTTGGCATTAGAAGGACCCTCAGAGGTCTGAGGGGGGCCACAGAAGCAGGTGCTAAGACTCAGAGAGGTGTAGTGATGTGACCAAGGTCACACAGCCTGTAGTTGGCCATGAGGTGTCAGCTGCCCCCAGAGGCAGTGGAGTGGGGCGGAGGAGCTGGGGGTTTTCCTGCTTGTCCTGAGAGCTGCACCAAACATCTTGGCCCAGTGGGGTTCAAGGTCTGTGAGAGACACAAGCAAGAGGAGGGTGTCTGGTTCATCGAGGGATGGGGGGAAATGCTCCTGGGACCCCCATCTCCATAACCATGTTGTAGGGTCCCCTGAAGTGGCTGCTAGTCAGAAGAGGCCTTGAAGAGGACCGCCACAGCCTAAAGGCAGTAACTCCACCCCCCGCAACTTCCTCCCCAGTCCCCTCCTCAAGCCCTGGGCCATGCCCGGGGCCTCCTTGCTTGCTGTAGGACGTCCTTTGTTGACTCTTCCTGCTGTTGGGGTTGCAGGGCAGAAGAGGAAGAAAGGGGGCCAGGGCCGGCGGGAGAACGCCAACAGGAACCCGAGCAGGAAGGAGAGCAAGGAGGCGGGCGCCGGCTCTCGGAGACACAAGGGCCACCAACAGCCACAGCACCAAGGAACAGTGGGGCCGGTCACGCCTGCAGGGCCCACCTAGGGATGATTGTCACCTCCAGGCCCACGCAGGAAGAGTCCAGCGTTGCTCTGTGTGATGAAAGCTTTACTGAACTGGAGCGCTGGGGGCAAAGCGTGTACACGCTCTCCATGCATATATGGACACACAGACACACACACACACAGGGCCCATGTTCAAACATGCAACCAATATACACGTATGTGCACACGTGCGCGCGTGCACACACACACACACACACACACACACACAACCAAGGCCACCAGAAGACACTTCTATCTCTTGGACATCACCGCAGGAGCAGGGTGGGGAGGTAGAGGGGGTCCCCTTTGCCTGGTAGAGGGCCCAGTGGCACAGACTTGGCTTGCGATGCTCCCAAGGGACATGTCAGAGGGAATATTTCCCAGCGTCCAAGCCCAAAGAGAGTGGATCCTTCTGGAGGAGCTGATAGGATCGGCCCAGCATGGCAGACAGGAGCCAGAGCTTGGGGACTGTTCAGCATTTCCAGCTGTGTGACTTTATCCTTGGAGAGTACTGTTACACGCCCATGATCCATATCAGGGCTGCCCCGACTCTGAAAACTGTTCACAGGTTTATTTCAAATTAAAAACAAAACCAAATGACAATGGTAGCCACAGGCACCACATTCCTTCACAGGGGACAAGGATTGGTGGGTTACCTGGGAGCAGGACAGGACAGGGCTGAATTTCGAAAGACCCCCTCATGGGCCCCTGGGCAGAAGGCCCAGAGCAGGAAGAAAACTTCAAGGCTACTCTGAGGGTGATAACCAGGTTCTCTGCAGCCTTATTTGTCACTCAAAGTGTGGTTTGTGGACCAGCATTCACGTCATCACTGGGCATTTTAGAAGGGAGAGTCTCAGGTCCCATCTCAGACCTGATGAACCAGAGTCTGCATTACAATGAGGTCTCGGGTCACTGGAACACGCGTTCAAGTTTAAGAAGCTCTGCTCTGATCACGTCTATGGTGGGAACCAAGGTCCTGGCCAGCTTGTCATAGGAGGGATGCTGGTCCCCCTGTTAAGGAAGACTTCCTATCCAGGAGAGGTAGAATCTGAGTCCTAGAGCACTGTAGTGACACCCTATTGGGAGGGAGTGCTCAGGTTCCCCAAGACAGTTGGGGACTGTTGGATCCAAGGAAAGGACAGTGGACAGCATGACCTCCTGTGGCATTCTTAAGTGTCCACTGGCAACCATGTGGGCCATATGGGCCCTGGACTGAGGGGTTTCTAGGGAGAACCAGGCATAGGCCTTGCTCTCCTGGAGTTAGAAGTTGGTCAAGGTAACAGGCATGAACAAAATAATCATCCCAATAAATATGTAATTACCAATGGGTAGGGTTAAGACCAGGCAACTACTGGCACATACACAGAGCTATAAAGGTAAATAAAAATAAGGCTTTATCTCAGGGAAGCTTTTCAGAGGAGGTGGTATTTGAGCCAAGCTCTGAAGGATGAGTAAGAGTTAGGACAAAGAGAAGGGATGGTGTTCTAGACCAGTGCTGTCTGATAGAAATACCAGATGAGCCACTGACGTAATTTAAAATTTTTCTAGTAGCCACATCTAATGAGTAAAAAAGCAACAGGTGAAGTTCAATTTAATTATAGCCATTTATTAATTTAATTACTATTACACCAAGTATATGCTCAAATGTTATCTTTTTAACATGTAATCAATATAAAAATTATTAACATCTTTCACATTCTTTTTTTTTTTTTTCCAAACTAAGTCTTCAACACTCTGTGTATTTTTGCACTTCACAGCATATCTTAATTTGGATACTAAATTTTCACCAGAAATAACTTGACTTGTATTTAGAGTTCATAAAAATGGAAAAGTAGACTCACATTCTGAATTCCTGTTTCAGGAAGAGTTAAAATTTTTCCAACAATTTGAATTTACTATATTTTAAATTTTAAATTCAATCATTAAAATTAGGTAAATTAACAATTTGGCTCTTTGGTTATACCAGCCATGTTTCAAGGGCTCACTAGCTACATGTGGCTAGTAGCTACTGTGTTGGACAGCAGAGCTCTGTATAGATGGCATTGCACATGCAAATGTCCTGTGGCAGAAGGGAGATTGGTGTTCAAGGAACTGAAAGAAGACCAATATAGCTGGAAGGTCTGGAGGACAAGTGAGGTGAGATGATTCTAGAAAGGTCTCCTGGATTTGGGTCTTTTTTTTTTAAGATTTTATTTATTTGTTTGACAGAGATCACAAGTAGGCAGAGAGGCAGGCAGAGAGAGAGAGAAGCAGGCTCCCTGCTGAGCAGAGAGCCCAATGTGGGGCTGGATCCCAGGACCCTGGGATCATGACCTGAGCTGAAGGCAGAGTTTTAACCCACTGAGCCACCCAGGCGCCCCTGGATTTGGGTCTTTATTCTCAGAGCCAGAGGAAGCTGCTAAAGAGTTTTAAGCAGCAGGCCAAGATGAACAGATTTGTATTTTGCAAATACAAATACAAATTCAAATTCTGATGGCTGTAGTGTACAAGGCAGATTGAAGGGAAGCTGCGTTGGGGGCTATTGCTGTCATCCAGGCTAGAGGTGTTGCAGACACGGACTAGGGTGGAAATGGAGAGAAATGGATAAAGTCACAAGGCATTTGGAGAATAAAGTTGGCAGAGTTTAGTGATAAACTGGAGGTGGAAGAGGAAAGAAGAGGAGAGAAAGGGTCAAGGACAAAATCTCCATTTCTGGCTCGAACACCCACAGGGTGATGGTTCAGTGTTCTGAGATGGGGAACTGGTCAGGAAGACTGGTTTGGGAAGACAAGGTTTTGATTATGTTGAGTGCGAGGTGCCTTTGAGACATCCTGGTGACCATGGAGAGTAGATAGTGTGTAGACATGAGCGAAGGTCTAGCCCGCACAGGGCAAGTTGGAGCTGGAGCATGAGCTGATGTAGAGAAGGTAATTGAGGGTTTGGAAGAGATAGCATAAAATGAGAGTTGGAGGAAGAGAAGGCTGGGGACTCAGCTGTGCGACCCTCTGGGTACAAATTTCCAAAGATGGGGATCAATCAGCAGAGAAGGCAGAGCAGGAGGAGGAGAGGGAACGAGGGAGTCCACAAGCAGGAGAGAGATCACAAGGGCCTAAGGTGCTCAGGGACCAAGTAGACAAAGACTGGAAATTGTCCGTCAGACTTACAACTTGTGTGCCAATGGTAACCTCAACAGGAGCCATTCGGAGCAGGCACGGGAGCCGAAATCAGTATGCACCATTCCTTCAGGAAGTTTAGCTGAGAAATGGGGAGAAGCCCGACAGGGGCTGGAAAGAGAGATAAGGGTGGAGAGAGTCTTTTTTCCTTCCCTTCCCTTTCCTTCCCTTTCCTTCCCTTTCCTTCTCTTTCCTTTCTTTCTTTCTTTTTTTTTTTTTTTTAAGGTGGGAAAGACTTGAAAATATTTAAAACCCCCTGGGAAGCATCCAGTTTAGAGAAAGAGGTTGAATCCACGAGAGAAGAAAGGGAAAATCAGTAGTGGAGGGCTTCCAGTGGAGGGACAGCTAGACGGGAGCCAGGAGAGGCTGGTGCAGGTGAGGGAAGGATGGAGGTTTGGAAGGTGGGGGACCTCAGGTGTGTGCACCTGACCCTCTGTGGGGCTCTTCCCATCCATACCAGATAGCTCCCTCACTGCAGGCCAGGATTTGGAGGCTGAGCTATATCCTGGGGGTCCGGCTGCCCACAGCCCCCTCTCCCTGACCCTGGTGCTATCTTTGCCATCTTGCTGGTCATCTGTTTTCCATCTCCAGTTTTGGTCTCTGCCTCTGCCCCTCCCTGTTTCTCTGACTCTGTCCTTGTCTGTCCTTCTTTTCACCATTGTGTCTTTCTCTTTTCCTACCTCAGTCTCTGATTCTAGTCTCTCTGTTGTTCTGCCTCTCTTCTGGGCATCAGCCTCAGCTCTTCCACATCTTGGCTGCCTCTGGCTCTGACGTGCCCTAATGTCCCAGATCCCCTAGGTCCTGGATACTCAACGTGTGGCCACGGATCGGCAACCTCAGAGCCTAAAAGTCCAGAATCTCACTCCCCTCCTCAAACTAAAGACTCTGAATCTGCCTCAGGTCCCCAAGTCCTTCACATGCATGTTAAGCATTTGAGAAGCATTGCCTTAAGCTTTCCTCTAAAACAATATCAAAGCAAAAATCAGAATCTTAGAACCTGGAATGATCTGAATCCTCCTGCATCTCCAGCGTCACCTTGGTGACACTCTAAGGCATTCACCTTCTCTGCATCATCTCCTCGTGCCTTCTAGAGCTGCTCGTGAAGCTCTAGGCTACAGAGCAAGGGAACATAACGTGGCTTCTGTGGGTCCTGAGCTTCCATACTTGCAGAATTACTGGTGGGAGGGAAATATCCTGATACCAATATGCTGGGTGCTTCCCGGTGGGACTCCAGTCCCTCCTTGAAAACTTAACCTGCCCAGACCTGTCTCACCCCTGTCTCACTCTTATCCTTTCAAGACTAAGAATGGTTGTTTTTTTTTTGTTTTTTGAGCTGGCAACGAGGTATATGTTTCATGATGGGGTTCAGTTACCTGCACACTGCCCCCAAAGCAGCTCACCTGGGCCTGGAGACCATTTGGGTTGACCAGAAGTCCCACCTGGTGAGTTTTAGAGTGAGCAGGTGCTGGAGAGAGGGAGTCCTGTCGAGATTCCTAACCCTACTCCCCGGTTTAGGCAAACACAGCCCATGATTCACATGTGGCTGTTATGGTCCCACATTGTCATTTGGGAAGTGTTAGCTTTGCCCTCAACAGGGTCACCTTTCTGCCTGGACTAAGACATTTCTGGCCACCTTACCCAGTGCCAGCTCTGGTATGTTTCAGACCAAGTCTCTAGAGCATGGATCTGTTTTCTACTTCAGTATTTTGAGCGATGGAGTTGTTTTCTGGATTTGTTTTTTTAAGTGGTTATTCCCCCCCCGCCCGCCCCTCTGGTTTGTTTGGTTTGGTTTGGTTTGGTTTGGAAGGACTGAGAGAGAATTTAGGAAAAGGGTCAACTTCCTGGGCCCCATTCAAGCCTTTGAGCCAGGTCCTGTCACAGAGGTGCTGCCTTCGTGCCCTGACTCCTCCAGCCGTGGTCCAGATGGGACTTACGCAGACCGCTGGCAAAACCCCCCCTGAAGGTGGTAAGGAAGCGGAAGAGCC